GGTGAAAATTTCATGTCATTAGCACCTCTAGTAATATATTTACTGAGAAAAATGGTGACGTGTTCAATACTTATTTTACCCGCTGTATATATATACTGTATATACATCCAGTGATTGTCAGAAACCCCAGGATGAATTCTGAGTTTAATTTATCCACCTGGAGCTTTTTTGCCAACATTTCATTCCAAATTTTGGTCCTTCCCCCTTCCTTCATTCTTACCCACAGTGGAACATTTCCGACTACTTCTTCCAAAGAGGCGAGGCCATCATCCAGGAGCTGGAGAGGGAGGAGGTGGCTCTGCAGAAGCAGGCTCAGGAGAAAGGCGAGACCCTCAACAGGCCCTTCCACCCAGCCCCTCCCTTCGACTGCCTGTGGCTGTGCCTCTACGCCAAGCTGGGCGAGCTGTGTGTTGACCCACGGCCTGCTGTGCGTAAAAGTGCCGGGCAGACATTGTTCTCCACCATCGCTGCCCACGGGACCCTGCTGCAGCAGCCGACGTGGCATGTTGTGGTCTGGAAGGTAACGGATTTAATCGGTTTCATTCATGCTGAATTCAGTCACATAGAAAAAAAAGATGAATAAAAAATGTTTCAAAACCAAAATAATTTTTTTCCCCTCCAATTTTATACGGTTACTATTTTTTTTCTGTCTTGCTGCATAGGTTTTATTCCATCTGTTGGACTGCGTGAGGACATCGTCCACCACAGCAGACAAGGAGAAGATTGAGTCCGGGGGAGGGAACATCCTCATCCACCACTCCCGTGACACCGCTGAGAAACAGTGGGCTGAAACCTGGGTGCTGACCTTAGCTGGGGTGGCTCGCATTTTCAACACAAGGAGATATCTTCTCCAGCAGTTAGGTAAACCTGCAGTAGATACTGTGCAGTTTCTGTATCTGCAGTCAATGTTAACGCTGACAGACTGAAGATTACACAGTGGAGCATTTTTATTCATGGCTGCCTCCTAATGGTTTACTATACATTCATTTGCAATTTTTAAATAAAATGCTTAACATTTAATACAAAACCTTGTGTTTCAAAGCACTAATTACAGTTTCCTTCAACTAGAGCTGGGCGGTATGACCCTAGTTTTATATCACGTATTTTCAACATTTACACCGGTTTCACGGTATATCACAGTATTTTTTTTTTCATCACAGGTCAGCTGATAATAAAATGTACAAACACTGTTTATTGACTTTTCTATTTTACTGTACCTCTGTCTGTGTCACTGTTTCCCCTCCTCTAAACGTATTTTCTTCTCCTGGTTGGAGACAGTAGTCACACATTTTGGTCCGGTCGTGAAGGCCAGTGCTTGGCCAGAACTAATGCTGTTTGGGTGGCCATGGCATGAAAAAGTTTTGGAACCCCTCATCTAAAATGTAATTACAGTCAAGACGAAGCAGATTTTATGTTAAAATGACCTGCCGTACATCTAGACTGAGTGACTGATGGAGCACGTGCCACTGTCCTTATGCATTACCCAAGAAGAAGAAAAAGTAGTTCCCTCCAACCACAGATGATTTAAACAAGATTTGAACAGCTTAGTTATTTCCCACTATTTTACTGTTAATGATATACATTATGTGAAATAACAGGAGTATCAAAGTATCAATATTTTGATTTTAGTATCAATTCTAGAGCATAAAGTTCTGGTATCTGTAGTATCGATATTTCAGTACTGATCTGCACATCTCTAGTCTCCACGTCTCCATATTAACGTCGCGTGTTAAATCTAACTGTGCACGTCACTGAAGAGGTGTTTACTACATTCAGCGACGGTGAAAACGGGATGTTTTTTTTTTACGTCAGTCAATATAAGCAGCGGAATTGCCACAAAACAACAAACTGCTCAACAATAACATTAGCATGCTAATGCACATAGCGGTGCAGCGAGGAAAAGTGTCCCCCGGGAAACAGTTCACTGGCGGCCGTGACGAAACGTTCCGCACGTGTTCAGGCTATTTATACCGGTATGTCGGTATCGGAGTTGTAAAGTAACTTAAGTACAAATACTTTGTTACTGTACTTAAGTAGAATATTTGGGTATCTGTACTTTACTTGAGTAATTATTTTTCAGCGTACTTTTTACTTTTACTCATTACATTTTTACACAATTATCTGTACTTTGTACTCACTACATTTTTTCAAAAGGTAAGAAGTAGAAAGTCATTACTCCTGTTTTATTCTGAGTTATTACTTAAAAATACTATCCTGATAAATCGTGTCTCCTGGATAGAGTGAATTTAATTGTGTTTGGATGAGAAGTATAAATATATACCATTCTGACACACTATTAGCTTGTACACAACCCATCACAGCTGCACGCTGTTAGAAAATATATTTTTTGGAGAAGTCTCCTCCCAATAAATGTCATTTAGGATAATTTAACTGCTCACTTTTACTCAGTACTTTTACTTTTAATACTTAAGTAGATTTTGTGCCCAAAATTTACTTTTGATACTTAAGTACAAAAAATATCAGATACTTTAAGACTTTTACTCAAGTAATATTTTTAGACAAGACTTTAACTTTGACCAAAGTATTTTTATGATAAGATACTTGTACTTTTACTCAAGGATCACTTAGAGGTACTTCATTCAACACTGGTCGGTATTCAGAAAATTCATATCATAACAAAAATAAAAAACTGTATTCGGTACGAACCAGTATACCGCCCAGCACTACACCTAAACAAACTTTATAGTAACTTTTGTGTTTCCTGCAGGGGATTTCTTCGAGGCCTGGGAGGTGCTGCTGAACCACATCCAGTCAGCCGCTCTCAGTAAAAACAATGAAGTTTCTCTGGCTGCTCTCAAGAGCTTTCAAGAAATCCTGCAGATTGTCACTCCCGTGAAAGACTCGGATAAAGCAGGGGATGCACTTGCCGCCATGGGTGTCCCCCCAGTCTTCATCGACCCCCTCTCAGCTTCTGGTCCCGGCAGACCCCTGGTGCGCTCCGATTCGCTAGTGGAGAGGTTGACGAGGTACAACGGGGCCGAGCTGCAGGCGCCGCCGCCGGGGGAGGAGTCGGCCTTGGAGGACTTGACGCTGTGGTGGTCGGCGTGGAACACGTGGTACCGGACGGGAACTGAGAGCACGAGGCCGCCTAGTGGCCCGATGGAAAAGCTTTCCTTCATCCCGAGCCAGCCCTTCCTCACAGCTTTGGTACAGATCTTCCCGGCACTCTACCAGCACATCAAAGCCAACTTCAGCATGGAGGATCTGAAGAAGCTGGGGGTCATCCTCCATGGTGCTGTGTCTGTTCCCATCAGCAGCGACGCCTCGCCCTTCATCCTGCCGTCCTACACTGAGGCCACGCTCACCAGCCTGCAGGAAGCTGTGCTTATTGCTCTGGATGTTTTACAAAAGGTGAGAACAGGAAGTCAGCAAAGTACCAATGTACAAAACACGCTCTGTCATGAAGTGTCACCTATATGGAGGTAAATTTGTGTTTTTATTATTCAATCAAACAAAAAGCATCTTCAATCAAAAAAAATAATTTCAATCAAAAATAATA